GGGAGGCGGCAGGAGAGTGCTGACAACGGAGGGTTCACCGGAGCACCATGGGCAAACCCTGTTTCTGGACAAGGATACGAATGCATGTGGAATATCACGCGGGTGTGTATGACCAAAAACCCTTTGGGGAGGATTTGCCTTTCCCGCCGGGGGCTTTGGGGCCAGTGGTCCTGTCTCTTGAGTTTCGCTGCATTCAGGCATGGACTGGCCCCGGCAAGCCCAGATTTTAAAAAATTTTTTAAAAATAACCCCAAAATTTCCTTTCGGTTTAGCCAAGAGCATCCGCAGTTTCAAGGCAGCGTTGTGCACAGGGCGGTGGAGGCAGAGGGGCGGTGGGCGCCCGCTGGGTGCGGGGTCAGCTCCCCCCATCCCTGCGCCCCGGCGTGGGTCGGGGTGCGGGGACGCGGGGCTGGGGCATCTCGCCCGGCGCAGGGTCCTGGGGGATGTCGGCGAAGGGGGGGGACGCTGGGTGAGTTTCCTTGTCTCTTGCCTTGCCTGCGTGGGTACCGGGAAGGTGCTGCAACCTGGCTTTACACATCTGCCCCCAGCCTGCCAAAATCCAGCGATGAGGGGCTTTTCCAGCCCCGGGGTGGCCGATGAGGGATGAAGGAGGCTTGGGAGCAAGCGTGCGGTTTTATTTAGCCTAATAAAAAAACTCAAGCCCCAAAGGGCCCCAAAATGCAGCTCCACGGCCCCATTTTCTTGGCATTAAACATGTTCCGGGGAGAAGACGTGGATGGCAGGGCTCGGCTGTGCCCTCATCCGCCGCTGTGTTGCTTCTTATAACAGGGAGCTAAATTTGGTCCGAGGGCATGAAATAGATAAACCCATCACAGCTCTGCTCAAGCCTGTGCTTAAAGCAAGATTGGGGCCCGAAAAGCCATCGGTGCCTGTGGTGATGCTCGGCGTAGCGCCGGCTTCGCTCCCACCGGTCCTGATGCTGCTCCGAGTCCTCTGATGGAATAATAATAAATGTAAAATTAATTAATGAGGGGAGGTGACGGTGGGAGCAGCAGCCACGGGGGTTGCAGCAATATTCCCAAAATGGGCTCGGCCGGGAGCACCCACGGGCAGCAGCGTGTGCCGGGACCGGCTGGAGCAGGGCTGGGGGCTGAGGGAGAAACGGAGCTTTGGCTGTGCCGGCGGGGATGGGAGATGTGTGAATCCACTTGCCATGCAGCATTTTTAAGTCATTTTCTAAAAAAAAAAAACCAACCAAGTGCCAAAAGCAATGTTTTATGTTTGCTGTTCCTTGGTGTCCTGTTGCCCGGCAGGCGTGAGATGGGGGGAGATGTTGGGGAGGGAGCGGAGAAGGGAAAACCCGAAAGCGAGGGAGGTTGGGAAGGGGCGTGAGGAGGTGGAGGCGAAGCGGGGGTCGGGGGGGCTGAGCCGCAGGCGCCAGCCGGGGCCTGGGGGCCCCTCCAAGCACCCCCCGGTTGTACGAAACTGAGGG